ATCGAACCCATGACCTTGCCTCACCGTACGAAACCTCTAACCACCGAGCTATTGAGACCCATCATTAACCATGTTATTCATTCTTTTTGAACGTTATGACTATCGATATAGTATGTACTTGTTGATTTTCGAAAATGACCAGTGGTCGTACGGATAGTTTAGCCTAATGTTAAAGGATGGCGTATGCTAAAACCTTTAACTCGTCGCAAGTTTATCCGGTAGAAAGTGTGTGTATATTTTGCGAGAGTGAGACTCTATGTCATAAGGTAATGAAAAACATGGTCTCAACTGGGAATGGAACCCATGACCTTGGTTCACCCTACGAAACCGCTAACCACCGAGCTATTGGGACCCAGCATTAACCATGTTGTGCATTCTTTTTGTACGTTATGGGTACTGCACACTGCCACATGGCTGTATGGGTGTGTAAGTTTATCCGGTAGAAGGTGTGTGCATCTTGTGAGAGTGAGACTCTCTGTCATACGGTAATGAAAAACATGGTCTCAACTGGGAATCGAACCTGGGACCTTGCCTTACCGTACGAAACCTCTAACCACCGCGCTTTTGAGACCCAGCATTAACCATGTTATTCATCCTTTTTGTGGGTTATGACTATCGCACGTTGCCACATGGCTGTATGGGTGTGTAAGTTTATCCGGCAGAAAGTGGGTATATTTTGTGGGAGTGAAACTCCATGTCATTAGGTAATGAAAAACATGGTCTCAGCTGGGAATGGAACCTAGGACCTTGGTAGTCTGTAACAAAGCTTTAACCAGTGAGCTGTTGAGACCTAGCATTAACCACGTTATTCATTCTTTTTGTACGTTATGAGTATCGCACACCGCCACATGGCTGTATGGGTGTGTAAGTTGATTCGGTAGAAAGTGTGTGTATATTTTGTGAGAGTGAGACTCTATGTCATAAGGTAATGAAAAACATGGTCTCAACTGGGAATCGAAGCCAGGACCTTGGTTCACCGTACCAAAGCTCTAACCACTGAGCTATTGAGACCCAGCATTAACCATGTTATTCATGCTTTTGGTACGTTATGACTATCGATGCGTACATGGTGAGATCGATGGTTTGAGCTTTGGAACGGTGAACCAAGGTCCAGGGTTCGATTCCCAGTTGACACCGTGTTTTTCATTACCTTATGACATAGAGTCTCACTGTCACAAAATATACACACACTTTCTACCGGATAAACTTGCGACGAGTTAAAGGTTTTAGGCATACGCCATCCTTTAACATTAGGCTAAACTATCCGTAGACCCTCTGGTCATTTTATAAAATCAACAATTTCATAGTATATCGATAGTCATAACGTTCAAAAAGAATGAATAACATGGTTAATGCTGGGTCTCAATAGCTCAGTGGTTAGAGCTTTGGTACGATGAACCAAGGTCCAGGGTTCGATTCCCAGTTGAGACCATGTGTTTCATTACCTTATGATATAGAGTCTCACTCTCACAAAATATAAATAATAAGTCGCAACCCGAACCGTGTGTCGCATGCCCTGGTGGCGCTGGAAGCGTCGAGTTTTACGACATATGCGGCACTTTATTTGTTAGAGTGTTTCTTATTTGCAGAACGAAAATAGTCCGTTGTTAGTACATCATTCATCTTTTCAACACCTTGTAATGAATATTTATTTATATCATCATACTTGTGATCCGCTTTCATACCTTCCATACCGCTTGCATATCTTCATACCTTCCATACCGCTTTGATACCACCATACCTTCCATCGCTTTCGTACTTATGATCCGCTTTCATACTTTTCGTTCGGGTCATCCGCTTTCATACTGTTCATTCGGGTCATCCGCTCTCATACTGTTCATTCGGGTCATCCGCTTTCATACCTTACATACCTTCCAACGCTTTCATAATTGTGATCCGCCTTCATACTTTTCATCTCTTTCATACTTTTCATCTGTTTCATACTTTTCATCTCTTGCACAGTTTTCATTCATTTCATATCGTTCATCGTTTAATCGTTTTCATCGTTTTCATACTTTCCATGGCTTTCATACTTTTCATCTCTTTCATACTTTTCATCTCTTTCATACTTTTCATCTCTTTCATAGTTTTCATACATTTCATATCGTTCATCGTTTTCATCGCTTACATCGTTTTCACACCTTCCATGGCTTTCATACTTTTCATCTGTTTCATACTTTTCATCTCTTGCACAGTTTTCATATATTTCATCTCGTTCATCGTTTTCATCGCGTTCATCGTTTTCATCCATTTCATGGCGTTCATACTTTTCATGTCATCAGCTTTCAAACCTTTCATGGCTTTCATACTTTGGATCCGCATTCATACTGTTTATTTGAGTCATCCGTTTTCATATCTTCCATACCTTTCATCGCTTTCACAGCTTCCGTCGCTTTCATACTTGTGATCCGCTTTCATACCTTCCATACCGCTTTCATATCTTCATACCTTCCCTACCGCTTTCATACCTTCCATACCTTACACCGCTTTCGTACTTATGATCCGCTTTCAAACTGTTCATTCGGGTCATCCGCCTTCATACTTTTCATCCGGCTCTTCCGCTTTCATACTTTTCATTCCGGTCATCCGCTTTCATACCTTCCATACCTTCCATCGCTTTCATACTTGTGATGCGCTTTCATACTTTTCGTTCGGGTGATCCGCTGTCATAGTGTTCATTCGGGCCATCCGCTTGCATACTTTTCATCCGGCTCATCCGCTTTCATACCTTGCATACTTTTCATCGCTTTCATACTGTTCATTCGGGTCATCCGCTTTCATACTGTTCATCTGGCTCATCCGCTTTCATCCATTCCATACCTTTTATCGCTTTCATACTTGTGATCCGCATTCATACTTTTCGTTCGGGTGGTCCGCTTTCATAGTGTTAATTCGGGTCACCGGCTTTCATTCCTTCCATACGTTCCATCGCTTTCAGAATGCTCATTCGGGTCATACGCTTTCATACTTTTCATCCGCTTTCATGCTGTTCATTTGACTCATCCGCTTTCATCCCTTCCATACCTTTCATCCCTTTCGTACTTGTGATCCGCTTTCACACCTTCCATTGCTTTCATACTTGTGATCCGCTTTCATACCGTTCATTTGGGTCAGCCGCTTTCATACTTTTCGTATGAAAACGATGAAAAGTATGAAAACGATGAAAAGTATGAAAGCGATGCGAACGATGAAAAGTATGAAAGCGATGAGAACGATGAAAAGTATGAAAGCGATGAGAACGATGAAAAGTATGAAAGCGATGAAAACGATGAAAAGTATGAGGGCGATGAAAACGCTTTCAGACTTTTCATTCGGGTCATCCGCTTTCATACTTTTCATCCGGCTCATCCGCTTTCATACCTTCCATCGCTTTTATACTTGTGATCCGCTTTCATACTGTTCATTTGGGTCATCCGCTGTCATACTTTTCATTCCGGTCATCCGCTTTGATACCTTCCATACCTTTCATCGCTTTCGTACTTATGATCCGCTTTCATACTTTTCTTTCGGGTCATCCGCTTTCAGACTGTTCATTCGGGTCATCCGCTTTCATGCTGTTCATTTGGCCCATCCGCTTTCATCCCTTCCATACCTTTCATCGCTTTCATACTTGTGATCCGCTTTCATACTTTTCGTTCCGGTTATCCGCTTTCATAGTGTTCATTCGGGTCATCCGCTTTCATACCTTCCATACGTTCCATCGCTTTCAGAATGTTCATTCCGATCATCCGCTTTGATACTTTTCATCCGGCTCATCCGCTTTCATACTTGTGATCCGCTTTCATGCTGTTCATTTGACTCATCCGCTTTCATCCCTTCCATACCTTTCATCGCTTTCGTACTGATGATGCGCTTTCATACTTTTCATCCCTTTCATAGTTTTCATACATTTCATCTCGTTCATCGTTTTCATCGTTTTCATCCTTTTCATCGTTTTCATCGCTTTCATCGGTTTCATCGCTTTCATACTTTCCATGGCTTTCATACTTTTCATACATTTCATCTCGTTCATCGCTTTCATCGCGTTTAGCGTTTTCATCCATTTCATGGCGTTCATACTTTTCATGTCATCAGCTTTCATACCTTTCATCGCTTTCATACTTATGATCCGCATTCATACTGTTGATTTGAGTCATCCGCTTTCATACTTTTCATCCGGCTCATCCGCTTTCGTACTTTCCATTCGGGTCATCCGCTTTCATACTTTTCTTCCGGCTCATCCGCTTTCATACTTGTGATCCGCTTTCATGCTGTTCATTTGGCTCATCCGCTTTCATCCATTCCATACCTTTTATCGCTTACCTTTCATCGCTTTCGTACTTATGATCCGCTTTCATACTTTTCGTTCGGGTCATCCGCTTTCATAGTGTTCATTCGGGTCATCCGCTTTCATACCTTCCATACGTTCCATCGCTTTCAGACTGTTCATTCGGGTCATCCGCTTTGATACTTTTCATCCGGCTCATTCGCTTCCATACTTGTGATCCGCTTTCATGCTGTTCATTTGGCTCATCCGCTTTCATCCCTTCCATATCTTTCATCGCTTTCGTACTTATGTTGCGCTTTCATACTTTTCATCCGGTTCATCCGCTTTCATACCTTCCATCGCTTTCATACTTGTGATCCGCTTTCATTCTGTTCATTTGGGTCATCCGCTTTCATACCTTCCATCGCTTTCATACTTGTGATCCGCTTTCGCACCTTCCATTGCTTTCATACTTGTGATCCGCTTTCATACTGTTCATTTGGGTCATCCGCTTTCATACTTTTCGTATGAAAACGATGAGAACGATGAAAAGTATGAAAGCGATGAAAAGTATGAAAAGCATGAAAACGAATACGTCTCAAGTGTAAGGATCAGTCGAGTTTTAACTTATACTTACACTATAATAATATATTCATGCGGTACATTTCAGGTTACACATTTTTTGTGTATTCTAACAGCTCTGCATCCGAAATACTTGCAAGCACTTCCTGCTGTTTTAATCTCTCCGATCGTTCTCTCAATGACTTTACAATTACCGCTATCGAATCCAATTACATTAATGAACAACATCGAATGGACCGTGAACAATATCGGATACAACAAATAGAGCCGATTTTAAACCGTTAGTTGCCATTATTTCATCATAGTCAATATTTATCTTAGGCTTTGTTCTTTAGTTTAGTTTATTTCACTCTTTTATATTTTTTTCATCATTATAATTTCTATTATTCCGTACACCGTTACTATCATTCTATTATTCTATTATTCCGTTCCTATAGGCAGCAAATACTAGTGGTGGAGCTCG